TTTTTGAGCTAAAGTTCCACGTGGTCGCATTGGTGCGAGTGAACGATGATCATCATTCTGATCTGGTTCCTTCCGTCGGCACAGGTAGCTGCTGCTCCAGTTACTGTGGTTGGAAATAGTCATATTTCTTCCAATGAAGTAAGTTGTTAGCACCAGTGCTACCACTGGAAAAGTTAGCCTGAAGCCCTGATTCATGAGACATTTGTTCTATTTGTGTAAAAGCAAAAAGAGAAGATTTCACAGTTATTTTTTACATCTAGACCACATTATACCAGGTACATACATGTAGTTGTGAACAAAAGTTTACATACATTTGTAAAGAACATGTATGTCATGGCACTTCTGAGTTCCCTATGACTCCTGTAACTCTTAATTTTCTATAAGAAGTTTCTTTGTCCACGTGATCAGCAACAAACTTGAGCTGAGCTTTAAGGAGCCATTCTGGAGGGAGGGCTTCTTTCCAACATGGCAGCCTCTCAGCCCATGCTGATGTAAAATACACTTGACTGTGGACACTGACACATGTGTTCCAGCATCTTCTAATTCATTGGAGACCTGCGTTTTGATCTCAGCTCTCTCAACTCTCTGTTGGCATGTTTGGAACAGTTAATTGTCTTTTCAACAATTCATTTCTGGGGTCAGTCCTCCTCATGGAGAGTGTTGATGCTTATCTTGTGGACAGCTTTCCAGTTAGAACCAACTAGACCAAGAGATACATGATATTTATACTGTTTGTATGGTAATTTACAAAAATTTGAAATTAAATATTCTACTTTTTTTTCTCAAAAATGGATTTCTGAATTTCATAAGCTATAAGCCAAAATAGTCAAAATTCAAACAAAAACTTGACATGTTTTACTTTACATGTAGTGAATATAGACTATATCAAAGATGACCTTTTTGAGTTATTAGTAAAATTGATAGCATGTCATACAAGATAAACCAGGTCCTACCTCAGCCTCTCAGCAACGTTTTAGTTGTTTCCTGAAGTTCCTATTCTGGCAGATGTGTGTTTGCCTTTCATCACATCAGTAACCATTTTCTTGTGTCCCTTTGTCCCCAGAACTCCCACTGCACTATGTCTATCAGAAGGAGGAGGCTCCTGCTGACCTGCTTTGTAATCAGGAGAGGAACTCTGTTCTGCACCAGAAGGATTCAGACCATCGCCAGATTAAAGAGGAACAAGAGGAACTCTGCACCAATCTGGACCAGGAGGACCCAGAGCCTCCACAGATGAAAGAGGAACAAGAGGAACTCTGCACCAATCTGGACCAGGAGGACCCAGAGCCTCCACAGATGAAAGAGGAACAAGAGGAACTCTGCACCAATCTGGACCAGGAGGACCCAGAGCCTCCACAGATGAAAGAGGAACAAGAGGAACAGGAGGGACTCTGCACCAGTCTTGAAGGAGAGCTGCTTATACAGAATCAGGAGAGTGATACCTTAATAGAAACTCCTACTTCTCAGGAAAGGGACCACAGTGACACAGAACCAAACAGTTACCAGATACTCTGTAACACTTTTCTTGTAGCGGAGAGGTCAGATCAGAAAAGAAGCAAGCATGGAGACTTAGAACCAACTACAAATGCAAAGCTGAAGCCAATGAAGACACATCACAGAAACAACAGTCACAGTAACAATGTAGACAACACTCCCATGGCTGACAGTAGCTGTGAAACTGACACAGGGGGAAAAGCCTTTAAAAATAGATACGACATGAAGAAACATTACAGCAGTCATACAGATGAGAAGCTGTTTGCTTGTAAGTCATGTGAGAAAAGTTTCAGCGATAGAGCTCAGCTTGAAGTCCACATGAGAACTCACACAAGTGAGAAGCCGTACTCTTGTGACACATGCGGAAAAAGTTTCATTAAAGAAGATAATTTGAAAGTCCACATGAGAACTCACACAGGTGAGAAGCCGTACCCATGTAGCAATTGTGGGAGAAGATTTAGTTTCGGATCCTCTCTGAAAGTCCACATGAGAACTCACACAGGTGAGAAGCCGTACTCTTGTAACACGTGCGGAAAAAGTTTCATTAAAGAAGATAATTTGAAAGTCCACATGGGAACTCATACAGGTGAGAAGCCGTACCCATGTAGCAATTGTGGGAGAAGATTTCGTTTAGGATCCGCTCTGAAAGTCCACATGAGAACTCACACAGGTGAGAAGCCATACTCTTGTGAAACCTGTGGAAAAAGTTTCAGTCAAGGGGGAATTTTGAAAGTCCACATGAGAATTCACACTGGTGAGAAGCCGTACTCTTGTAACACATGCGGAAAAAGATTTTCTGACAAATCAGCACATAAAAGGCACACAGCAGTCCACAAAGAGGTAAAGCCGTTCTCTTGTAAAACCTGCGGAAAAAGTTTCTGTCAAAGAGGTAGTTTGAAAGTCCACATGAGAACTCACACAGGTGAGAAGCCGCACCCGTGTAGCAATTGTGGGAGAAAAGGGCGGTGAGAAGTCATCCTGAAACATGTTAGAGGGTTAGGGTTAGGGTTTTTTTTTTTGGGGGGGGGGGCATTTAAACAGGTTAAAAGTTTTAAATCAGTTTCCGACTGTTCTTCAACAATAATTGTGAGGAAATATGTCAGCAGTCCTTGATGATCAGACCAGATGGAGTCTGGACTGTGGTGGTAGTGGAGCTGGGAGAAGAACCAGGCTGATCATCTGGATAAATGTAGTATTGGTACAGGCTGCTGTATTTTTGGTATCATACTTCATCGTTCATCAGCAAAGCAGTGATGTGAGATATTGTGAAGCTCTTTGGAACATTTTCACATCCTGCTGGAAGAACATGGCTGATCATGTGTGAACATACTGCTGGAGTCCAAGCAGCTCGAGTGCTGCTGTCTTTAAAGTAAAAGAAGACAAAGAAATACTGAGGCGTTATGACAGTAGGACACAGCAGAGTGTGTCATTGCAACAGAAGAGATCTGCACATGAACCTCCTTTGTTTGTTTGTGATGTTTCAAAGACAGACAGCTGAGGAGATGAAGTGGATTTCTGTTGGTGCCTGTAGAGGTAGTTGATACAGTCAAGACAGTCATAGTGTTTTGTTCCACATCCATCATTACATCTTTAAATGTCATTAGTCTAATTTCTTCATCAGAAAAATGTCACATACATAGCAGCAAAGTCGCCAAACAGAAACCACCTTTACTGATTTAAAATGTGATCTTCACAGGCTGTAATGCTGTACAGGTCAAACTGTGTGAAAGCTACAGCCATATGTCATGAATTTAATCTGTCATCTGTTTGTTCCTCATCAGGGATTTGTTTCTTGATGGATTGTTGGAAATGCTCAACTTCTTTTAATCTCCATATTGATTGTAAATAAACTTTAAACAACTGACTGCTGCTCCATGAGCGCTTTGTGAAATGTTTTGAATGTATTTAAACAGATTAACAATTACAAGATGTTTAATAATGACTTTAACATTGATGGACCCCAGCAAAGGTGTTATGTTATGAAGAAACACACAATTGGTTTTACTGGTAGTATCTGATACACACCCACAAATGTTAAAAAACATGTCAAGCTAGGTTACAGTTTCTGCTGTTTCAATACAGACCTTGTGTTATTTATTTATTCTTTTATCACCACATAGGTCATCAGTGTGATTTGTTAGTAAGGATCTTATGATGTAGTCAGGTCACTGTTATTTATACAGCACATTTAAAACAACAGCAACTGAGTCAAAGTGCTTTCCAATAGACAAGTAAACACAATGTCACTAATTTGCAGAGGTGGGTATCCAATGTTACTCAAGTAAAAGTAGAGAGTAGGCATCCAATAATTACTTGAGTAAGAGAACTTAAATACATTTCTTTACATCAAGCAGGGAACTGTATGTGTGTAATGCTGAATTTCAATCAGTGGAACAGCTGACAGCATAATAAACTGAATGCGAGTTGCTGCAGCAGAAATTTTATTCTCAGTCCCAAAGAGAATCACTCAGTAAAGTGTTAAGCTTCAACAGTAGTTGGCTCTCAAGGTTCCTACAGTGAAGCTGTGATCTTTTAGCTGCATGACTGAAGAGTCTCTGACAAGCTGCAGACGCTGGAAAACTTGTGTAGACTTTGAGTGACAACCTCTTGATTTGAGGAAAAGAAGGTTCATCAGAGGAGAAGTATTTTCACTTTGTGTTGGAATCTACCAACTCTGTATACTTCATCAGTTTGTTGGGGTGGATCCTCTGTTGACAGAAAAAATAATAATGAGGCCTAGGAGATGAATTAATTAAAACAGATTCATCCACACATCAAAAACAATCCTGCTGTACAGGAAATGTGTAAACCTAACACTTTGTATCCTTGACATGCTGTCACCACCACTGACTTCAATAATAGTAATTATTAAAATAAATATTATAAAAAAAAAAAATTACAATCATGGTCACCACTGATACAAACAGAGCTCCAAACCTATTCCAGGTAGAAGCCTGTTCCTACAGTTTAATGATCGTGTCTCTAAAATACAAAGTACACTGCTCAAAAAAAATAAAGAGAACACCTAAACAGCACAATGTAGTTTCAAGTCAATCACACTTCTGTGAAATCAACCTGTCCAGTTAGGACGCAACACTGATTGTGAATCAGTTTCACCTGCTGTTGTGCAAATGGACAAACAACAGGTGGAAATGAGAGGCATTTAGCAGGACAACCCCTATAAAGGAGTGGTTCTGCAGGTAGTGACCACAGACCATGTCCCTGTTCTCATCCATTCTCGCTGATGTTTTGGTCACTTTTGTCAGTGCTCTCAGCCCCAGAGGTAGCATGAGATGGTGTCTACAACCCACAGAAGTTGCTCAGGGAGTGCAGCTCATCTAGGATGGCTCATCAATGCAAGCTGTGGCAAGAAGTTTTGCTGTGTCTATCATCACAGTGTCCAGAGCATGGAGGAGATACCAGGAGACAGGCCAGTACACCAGGAGATGTGAAGGGGGCTGCAGGAGGGCAACAACCCAGCCACAGGACTGCTACCTCCTCCTTTGTGCAAGGAGGAACAGGAGGAGAGCCCTGCAAAATGACCTCCAGCAGGCCACTAATATGCATGTTTCAGCTCAAACTGTCAGAAACAGACTCCATGAGGGTAGTATGAGGGCCCGACATCCACAAGTGGGGCTTGGGCTTTACAGCCCAGCACCGTGCAGGGAGACTGGCATTTGCCTGAGAACACCAAGATTGGTAGATTTGCCATTGGTGCCCTGTGCTCTTGGATGAGAGCAGGTTCACACTGAGCATATGTGACAGACGTGACAGAGTCTGGAGATGCCATGGAGAATGTTCTGCTGCCTGCAATATCCTCCAGCATGACCAGTTTGGTGGTAGGTCAGTAATGATGTGGGGAAGCATTTCTTTGGAGGACCGCACAGCCCTCCATGTGCTAGCCAGAGGTACCCTGACTGCCATTAGGTTCCGGGATGAGATCCTCAGACCCATTGTGAGACCATATGCTGGTGCAGTGGGCCCTGAGTTCCTTCTGATGCATGACAATGCTAGGCCTCATGTGACTGAAATATGTCAGCAGTTCCTGCATGATGAAGGCAGAGGACCCAGAAATAGGCAAAGCTGTTGTGCACCACATGTTTACAAAGGCGGATTCTCTGGCAGAACATTTTCTGAGATTCTTCCAGCTGGTCATGACTACTCAAAGCCATCGCAAGGCTCGTCAGATTGTGAAAGAATTTAAGAACACGCAAAAGAGAGCTAATGAAGCCACAAGTCTTGAAAAAAGACAAGAAACTGAGTTTACAATCATAGCCATTGTTCAAAGATCAGTCTTCTCCAAAGAAATCAAGGAACTTCAGTCCCAAAAAAGAGGTGACTAAAGACAAGACAAGTAGGCTCTACCGACTCAATCCCTTTTTGGACCCCAAGGGTATACTTAGAGTGGGAGGTAGATTGGAGCAAGCTATGTTACATCCACACATCAAGCACCCCGCTATCTTACCAAAGATCAACCATATCACAAGATTATTGATTGTTCACTATCACCAGCACATACAACATCAATGCCGTGGTATGACGATGAACAAACTGAGAGCAAACGGCTTGGATACTTGAATGTAGTCAAGCAGTGTCATCCTATATCTACAACTGTGTCAAATGCAGGAATTTTAGATGTAGAACAGAAGAGCAGAAAATGTCAAACCTGCCCAGTGAGAGAATGGAGACAGGAAAGAAAGGAAGGAAAGAGCTAAAACTCTATGGACTGCTGTTTCCGTGCATGTGCTCACGCGCACGTATCGAATCACTCGATGATCTGTCAACTGACATTTTTCTCAACTCACTCTGAGCTTTTATTTCCCTGTGTGGAAATGTAATGCGTCAGTTTCTGTCAGACCAAGGTACTAACTTTGTTGGAGCAAGACGAGAGTTCCAGGAGGCAATAAAGGAAATGGACCAGAAAAGCCTGAAGCAACTCGGCTGCGAGTTTGTCATGAACCCTCCCTCTGCCAGTCATATGGGTGGAGCCTGGGAGAGGCAAATCCGTACAATCAGAAGTGTGTTGACCTCCATTCTGGATCAGTCATCCCGAACATTAGACAGTTCATCATTACGGACTATCTTCACAAAGTGTTGGCTATAGTAAACAGTAAATCTATAACCCCACACCTACTCAACAATCCTGCAGGACCTCAACCACTTATGCCCAATCTTCTCTTGATGATGAAGTTATCAGTGATACTACCACCACCAGGAGACGTTGTAAAGAAGGACCTGTACCTTTGCAAGAGATGGCGTATAGTGCAATACCTGGCCAATGACTTCTGGCACAGATGGGGAAAAGAATACTTGTTGAGCCTACAACAAAGACAACAATGGCAGAAAACAAGGAGAAATCCAAGCATCCAAAGAGCAGCAGATGGCCTGAGAAACGCTCCACTTTCAACAACCAATGCAGAAACTGTGGAGGTAAATATCCCCATGATGGTGAATGCCCTGCTAAAAATAAAGAATGTAGAGCATGTGGTAAATTAAATGATTTTGCAAAACAGTGCCGCTCAACATCCAAAGACACAAACACAAAACAACCAATAAACAAAGCCAGACAAGAACCAAAGAAAGTCCATCACATAACAAAGACTGCCCCTGAAGAGCGAAGAGAGCATGATTCATCAAGCAGTGATGATGCCTATGTTTTTGCAGTTGATGCTGACAAGATTTCAGAGTTGCCACAGACCCAAATCATGCTGAATGGCAACAGCATGTCTGTTTTGATTGATTCAGGAGCATCAGCAAACTGTATCAGGGAGAAAAGTTTTGATGAACCGATGCCACGTCCACAACTCAACTCCACTGTAACAAAGATTTTCCCTTTTCGCGCTGATGTTCCATTACCTGTCAGTGGTGCATTCAAGTGCAGTGTGGAGAAAGACAAGAAGAAAGCACAATGCACATTCTTTGTCATTAAAGGTGACTGTTTCAATATTCTGAGCTACAAGACATCCAAGACACTGGGCCTGATTAAAATTGTCACCACAGTGTCATGCACACCACAGTGTTCCACAGTTGCAGAGGAGCTGGTCGCAAGCCATCCGAAGCTGTTTCAAGGAACAGGAAAACTGAAAGACTTTCAAGTGAAGCTACACATAAATCCTGACGTATGATCTACATGCCAACCATACCAACGAGTACCATTCCACCTTTGCCAGAAGGTCGAGGATGAACTTCATAAACTCGGGGCAGATGACATCATCGAGGAGGTCACTGGCCCCACACCATGGGTCTCACCTATCGTTGCGGCTCCCAAACCTAAGGCCCCAGACAAGGTGAGGATCTGTGTCGACATGCGCCAAGCTAACATGGCCATAGAAAGAGAACGTCACATCACTCCCACCATGAATGACATGGTGCATGAGTTAAATGGAGCAACCGTATTCTCCAAATTGGATCTGAGAGCTGGATATCACCAGCTAGAGCTACATCCAGACAGCAGATACATAACCACATTCACTACTCACCTGGGCTTGAGACGCTACAAACGCCTGAGTTTCGGGATATCTTCAGCTGCTGAGGTGTTCCAGAACGCCATATGCCAAGCACTGCAAGGTCTCTGCGGTGTTAAGAATCTCAGCGATGTTCCAGAGGCTCAAAGAAACCGGTCTCACACTGAATTGTGAAAAATGTGAGTTCAACAAGTCCAGGCTCGAGTTTTTCGGCTTTATCTTCTCTGCAGAAGGTGTTTCAGCTGATCCCAAGAAGGTCGCTGCAGTCCAGCATGCTGCAGACCCCCAGACTCTGAGCGACATCAAAAGTCTGCTGGGCATGACCAACTACTGTTCCAGATTCATAAAAGACTTCTCCTCCATCTCAGAACCTCTTCGCTGGCTCACTAGAAAGGACATGACATGGACATGGGGTCCAGAACAACAAGCATCACTACAGACACTGAAGGACAGTCTGACCAGCGACACGACGATGTCGTACTTCTACCTGGGCAGAAAAACTGAACTGATTGTGGATGCTAGCCCTGTCAGGCT